AAAAAATAATTATTTTTGCAGGTGGCTGAATTAATAGAAGAAAAACAGCAAAATATTTTTTGGGTGGTCGAATTATTAGGGGTATAGTTTGGCTGGTCGAACTATAGGAATGTAATTTTGGTAATGCAACTGCAACGAAAAACAAGCAGTAATTTCAAGAGACAATGCTGCTACGTGTAACACCCAATGAGAGAAATTGTTTAATTGTGTACAAAATGTATCAAGTTTGTTTTGCACGCTAAGCACGCACATAAAACATTAAAAAAAATTATGCATTTGGAATTTTTTGCAATAAAAAATAAAATATACACACATACACACTTGCTCAATCGATCATTCTTTCAGGCGATAAAAATATGGTACGATATATCTCTTTTTGGAGGATGTGGTGGCCCTGAAAAGGGCCGTTTTGTTTGATTTACCATTAGACGGTACAAGTGAGAGATGGTCACTGTTGCAGCTCCGACTGCGTAAATCCCTCAAACCAGTTGCCTCGTCATCATCATCCAACAGTAAATCAGAAATGATGTCTGCTATTTCTGCATTGCTCCTGATGAGATGATCTTCGGCACCGTTCATGGCATTGGTTATACCACAAACGATATCTTGACTTCACAGATTCGGTTATGTGAGATCGAAATGAGTCGATAACAAGCATTGAATAGCGACGTTCGGTGTAAGGCCTCTAAATCTCGTCTATCTAACGCAGCATTAACTTTTTGTCCATCCATGCTTTTTCTTGGACAGCTACAATAAAACCGGGTGGAGATTGTAGCTTGAATTCCCTTTTTCCCTTAAAAATAATCATTGGGGGCAGAATATCTCCATTTGACATCACTGTCAAAACAACTGTCAGGTGTCTTTTTTCTGCATCCGTAGTGCGGACTTTCACAGTCTTGACGCCTCTCTTTTCCACAGTTTTGTTCGGAACTAAATCGAAAAAGACTGGCGTCTCGTCCATGTTTCCGATATAATCAAAATAGTCATCACTTCTTTTGTCGCGGACAAATGTAAAAAAATTATCAAGCTTCACTTCCAAGTCTGCAGGTAGCCTCTGTGCCACACAAGTTTTTAACCGCAAGACAAGGTTGTTTCGCTTCATGAACTTTTCGCACCAGCCACGCGATGCTTTGAACTCCGGGAACTCAGGTTTGATGACTGACAGTGCGTGACAGCGTATTGCGTCCATGGTAACTGGGATCTGCAGGTCGTGTTGCTGTAGAACCCAAATAAGGACTTGTTCGTCCAATTGTGTGCAGTACGAGACAACACAACCTCCTCCATGTCTTCTTTTACCCGCTGTAAAATGTTCCTTATCGAAATCATATTTACCCCACCCTTTTAATGTCGATGGAGCTATTTTATATTTCCGTGCGGTGGCGTTAAACCCCATCATCTTGGCCTCCTCATAAATTTTGCGGCATTGTTTGATGTTAAAGGATTTGTAGATACCTCTGGCGGCCTTTGTGGTGTTGGTTGGTGTTGAAGGAATCGTTGGTGTTGGTTCGGCATCAGCAAGCGGAGCTGCGTCTGGAACGATTTGTTCGGTCGTTGGTAGATTGACATTACCAGTAAATTCTAATCAC